GCGAAGCTAACGAGTGGCTAAAGTTCTCTAACTGCTACCTTCAGTTGTAGTTCCGAAGGAAGTGGGTTGCGTAGTATCTGCCAGCTGCGGATTAAGTTTGTCGTCCTCTGTTTCAGTATCCTCGGGTCACTACCTTTTAGTGTGGCGACACGGGTAACCATGTAATCAACTGCATTACAACGTCACCAGCACAGAGAGCTTCACGAATATGACGCCACTCTTCCAGATCATGAGCATAGGCTTCTTCGTCGCTAACTGCCGGTAACTCCGGCCGGCAGTGAACGAAAATGACTGTTTTGCTTCTTTCGGTGCAGGAGTCGTTTGAAGTACTTCTGTCTCGCCAATGTTCGCTCTATGGAACATCCGGGAATATGCGGAACCCTCTACCTTCAGTCCGCAAGCCGTACACCAACGAAAGCACCTTCTCGACATTATCTATGGATCCCAACGTTACTCGAATTAGCCGGGACACTTAGTTATGCATCGAGGTTGGATGTATGGTGATGCGCGTTATTTTAGTCAGTCTGGCTTGAATCCCGATTCTTTTACGAAGGAAATTCCACTTTTTTGAATCATCTTGCTGTTTATCCCATAAGGGCTTCGTCTTGGACTTAGGAACGTTGGTGCATATAAACGGCAAGGCACGGTATTTCCGCCTCGACTTCGGTGATGTGGAAAGCACGGTTATCCTAGGCTTCCGTGACGTCTCTGCAGGTTGTACCTTGTCCTTGACCCGTTTTGCAACTGTACTGGATGCAGGTCGCTCATTGATTATATCGAGCAGCAAAGGTTGCATAGGTGGATCGGTCTTTAGAGCGATTCGGATTTTGCTGATCAATAGGAAGGGTGGGTGTTACCGATGTTGCATCATTCTATACATTGAATAAGAGAATGTGGTTGGTGAGGCCACGCCAACTTCTAGAAATCGCGAAGACGACATAGTTCCTGGTTCCCATGGTTTCTAGTGCTTCGTGGCCGTGGGAATGCCTGGCCCTATTTCTTGGCGTCGAAACTTCCACTGGGAGGGACGGAGGAAGTGCAAGATGTGCTATTGTCGCCACGAGCGAAAACATTTTACACTTACACGATGTTCCGTTTGGGCGATTAGGCGGCCGTACTTTGTGTTAACACAGGTACGCATGTTACTAGTGGAACCGTTATACAACTTGGACAGAACCACAATGAAACTGACGTAAAAAATTTCTTTATTTATGTTCGACAGACTGTGACGCACTTTGAATGGTACCGGGGAATGTAAGTTGTACATGTAAAGTCTACTTTTACTACCTTAGCACATGTTTGCTTAGCACAGTATACTTATGGTAAGTCCCAACAGACTCGTCCCTTTTTAATCCGTTGCTCGGGGACCAGGGTTCAGGCCTTTGGGGGAAGCGAGAGTGAGCAAAATGTCAACTGTCCAATAGTAGATGTTAGTCTCTTTTAATATGTCTCACCCGATCACATGGGTGTGAACGGCTGGAGTGATGACCGTATGCCTGTAGCTGGGTATAGGTATACTTGTAGCGAGAATGAAAAGACAGGGGGGTAGACGTTTATTGCACACCGAAAATGGGCATATGAGGGTCTCACGTCCGCCATCGAATATCGACTAGATTTCCGTCCCACCACGCAACACAGGTACGGATGTTAGAGGCGAGCCAGTCCTTTCGCCTCGGGAGCTCTGACTTGGAAGATCCGCCTTCCTGTTTTCGCCTCGATCTCCGCTTCTCTGCACCCGATTTGGATCGGCCAGGAGTCGTTCGAGAGCTCTCGACTTGCTTGTTCTGGGCTGTGTCAATCGGCTCGGCCTCGGTCCTGTGGGCTGCGCTAGCGGCGTATTTGTCTGATTTATTGCGCTGTCCACATATTCCCGCTCCGTAGTTCCGGGCCCAGGCTCGTCGCTAGCCGTCCTCCTCGATCCGCTCTCAGCTAGCTCCGAAGAGCTCCTCCGAGGCATTCTCGGAAGCGGCCCCTCTACACCCGCCCCTCCTCCAGGACCTTTCTTCCTCTCGTACCATGGTCGCAGGAGAACGGCATTCACCCAACGTTTCATTCCTCCGCAGTCGATTAAGAAGTTGCCCGCTTTCTGGTCGATAATGGTGTAGGGGCCTTTCCAGCGTTCTCTGAACTTGTTTGCGCCCGGCCCGTCATGATCCGGCCGATCGTTGTTCCGTAACTTGACCCGTTCTCCAATCCTGAATGGCCTCCACTTGTGAGCCTCATGCCTGGCGTCGTAATTTCGCTTATTCCGCGCTTGTCGAGCTTTGGTTTCGCTTCTAGCTTTCCCACGCAGTCGCCCTTGATGCCCAGCTGGATGTTTCCACTCACCCTGGTTCGGTAGGCACGTATCGAGCGCAATCCGTGGTTCTCTGCCGAACAGTAATTCGAATAGCGAGACCTTGGTGGTTGATTGCATGCTGGTCGGATACGCGATCAGAACCTGAGGCAAAGCATCTTCCCATGCCAGCTTCGTGCAGTTTATCCACGTCTTCAATGTCCGATTGAAGCGTTCAGTCAACCCGTTGGTCTGCGGATAATACGGTGACGTACGTCGTCTCTGGATGTTCCACTTCTGCAATACGGCCTGGAACGCTCTGGACTCGAAACAGGGTCCTTGGTCGGTTAAAACACACTGAGGGACTCCATACCTTGCGGGTATATTAAACTCGAATACATTAGACACTCTCTCGCCTGTTTGGTCCTTGATTGGTATGGCTTCCACCCACCGAGTGAAGTGGTCAATCATCACTAGAATGTATCTGTTTCCTGTTCGACTCACTGGTAAGGGCCCAAAGACGTCCAGTCCCCAACACTGAAGTGGCTCACCAACCTCCATCGATCGCATCGGCGGTCTCGGGGACTCCATCTCCCGACTCGTTTGGCAGTTTGGGCACCCCCGAATGTATGCCGCGACGTCCTTCCTCATGGTTGGCCAAAACACTCGCCTCCGCAGCAATTCAAAGACCCGCTCGAATCCCATATGGGCGCCATCATGAGTTATACGCATCACACGTTCTCGCTGAGTTGGTGGAACAAAAGGCACTTTCCGTCCGTCTATCACCACCACCACGTTATCGTTTTCGACCTTCAGCCTGTCCCAGATCTTGAGGAGTTCCTCCACCTCTTCCGATGTGGCCTCCGGTTTGGTGCCAGCCTGTAAGTGAGAGCACAACGCCATCACGAATTCATCTGTCCTTTGATCTCCCAGCAGGTTCTTCTCCCCCATCGCGATCGCACGCACCGGTATGGCATTGTCTGGCATGATGTCGTCCAAACACGGGCGTGACAACATATCTGGCAATACATTCTGCGTTCCATCCACGTGCTCAATGGTGAAGCTGAATTCCTGCAATCGGTAGGCCCATCGCCCAAGCCGTCCCCGCGGGTCTTTTGCCGTCATCAACCACGAGAGCGGTTTGTGGTCAGTGACGACCCGGAATTCATTCGCCAGTAAGTAATTTCTCCACTTCTCTAACGACCACACGATGGCCAAGCATTCTTTCTCCGTTGTTGAATACTTCTGTTCCGCCCTCCTCAGCACTCTGCTCGCGTACTCCACCACCCCAGCCGGTTGAGACAAAACCGCACCGATTGCCACGTTGCTTGCGTCGACCGCCACAGTGAACCTCTCACCAGGATTGGGTAGCCGTAGACATGTCGGGGCTTCTGCTATGCATGCCTTTAGATGGTCAAAGGCTTGATCCGCTTCAGCTGTCCACACGAACGGCACGTCCTTGCGAAGCAGCTTTAACAACGGGCTGACCTTCTCTGCGAACTGGGGCACAAACTTTGAATCATATGCCACCACTCCCAAGAACGAACGGAGCTGACGCTTGGATTTTGATCTTGCGAAGCACTTGATCGTCTCGCGTTTCTCCGGAAGTGGATGGACTTGACCATTGCCCACGATGTGACCCAAGCATACAATCGACTTTTGGGCAACCTGCGACTTTTTACGACTGAGTTTCAGACCAGCTTCGTCCAGTCTCTGCAGTACTGCTCCAAGTCTGGTCACATGTTCCTGTTCCGTCTCAGAGAAGACGATGATGTCATCACCATAAACAACCACGCCTTGCAGGTTCGCCAGGACCATGAGCAACAAACGCCTGAATGTAGCTGGGGCGTTGCACAATCCAAACGGCATTCTCAAAAACTCATACTGCTAGCCATTGACACTGAAAGCCGTCTTGTGGCGATCTTCTTCTGCGATCGGCAGTTGCCAATATCCCGAGCGGAGATCAATCAGAGATATCTGCTTAGCACTGTGAAGGCTTGAGAAAATTTCTTCCATCTGAGGCATCGGGAATGCATTCTTCACAGTCACCCTGATTAGTTCTCTGAAATCGATGCAAAATCGATAGGTTCCGTCGGCCTTCTTCGTCAATAGCACGGGTGATGAATACGGGCTGTGCGTTCGCCTGATGATTCCTTTCGATTCCATCTCGGTCACCTGCTTCTGTATCTCAACCAGGGTGTTCTGTGGAATTCGTCTGAAGATTGGCTTGCTTTGTCCTCCTGGGATCAACGGTATTCGGTGTTCAACCCAATTGCAAAATCCGTAATCATCTTCCGCGTCTGTGAATAAGTGGGCATACCTGCTCAGTACGTTGCGTATTGCACGGTTCTGACAATCAGGCACGGCTTTGAAGGCACCAACCCGGTCGGTTCTCCCCTTGTTTATCTCGATCGTCTCGTTAGCCACGATCACCACATCGTTTTTCAGGTCAATTGTGACACCGAGTCGTTTCAGGATGTCGGTTCCGATGATGGTTTCGGTCGTCTCCTCCACGATGAACATGTCATGGCTGATGAGCGTTTCTCCTATTCTGATTCGTAACCGCTGCGTGCCCGTCACTTTCAAAGAATGCCCACCGACCGTCTGCATCGTGATTGAAGATGGGTTTACTGGAACCTCATTGAACCTCTTCGTAATTGACACTGCAGCTCCTGTGTCTACTATGGCTCGGACAGACACACCTTCTATAGTTACCTGGAGGACAGGTACTCGCCACCGACTCGGCATGGATAGAGAGAAACAATGGGGCACATTGAAGTTGGTGCAGAATCTCGCCACATGACCACTCTGGTTGCATCGGAAACAGCGGCGACCGTTCCGGATTGCCCGTACATTGCGTTGTGAAGTGGTGCTTGAAGACTCAATCGCCAACAGCTGCTCCACCATTTCGGATAGGCGATTTACTTTCTGTTCCAACTCAGCATGCTGGATGCTTCTCACTGTCACTCGTTCCGACAAATTCTGGGCGACCGTCACCAGATCCAACGCTTTGCTGTCTCCCACCATCGACGCCAATTTCACCTGATCACGGAGTGGATCGGGCAGACTTCGGATAAACTGCTGTTTCAGTAGGCGCTCTCTTGCGTTGCCCTCTAACTCGGGGAACCCAATCGTTAGATGTCTGTCCAGCTGCTGGAAAAACACCATCAAATCCTCCTGTTCGTCCCATCTGGCTGCGTGAATTCGTTGCAGTGCTCGTTCTCTCTCCAGATCCTTCCCAAACTCTGCACACAAGGCAGCCCTCATCTCCGCGAACGAACAGCCGGGTTTTGCCTTTCGAGTGAGCAGATACACCGCCTTGGCTCGTCCACTCAACCGTGTGCCCAAAGCAATTAGCAAATTTGCATCCCCCTCACCCCCGTGCAAGCCGCAATTCCGTCGAACTCATCGAGCCACGCCTCCACGTCACCGGCCGCAAATTGCTCCAACCGGGTCAACTCCATCGCGATTGGTCACGGCACCAGTGTAGCGAGAACGACACGACAGGGGGGTAGACGTTTATTGCACACCGAAAATGGGCATATGAGGGTCTCACGTCCGCCATCGAATATCGACTAGATTTCCGTCCCACCACGCAACACAGGTACGGATGTTGGAGACGAGCCAGTCCTTTCGCCTCAGGAGCTCTGACTTGGAAGATCCGCCTTCCTGTTTTCGCCTCGATCTCCGCTTCTCTGCACCCGATTTGGATCGGCCAGGAGTCGTTCGAGAGCTCTCGACTTGCTTGTTCTGGGCTGTGTCAATCGGCTCGGCCTCGGTCCTGTGGGCTGCGCTAGCGGCGTATTTGTCTGATTTATTGCGCTGTCCACATATTCCCGCTCCGTAGTTCCGGGCCCAGGCTCGTCGCTAGCCGTCCTCCTCGATCCGCTCTCAGCTAGCTCCGAAGAGCTCCCCCGAGGCATTCTCGGAAGCGGCCCCTCTACATACTGAGGATGGATGGACAAACCGACCACGGCAGATATCATTTGCTACACCGATATAGAAACGCAACGCCAACATGCCAACAGTCGGCGCATCTACCGCTTGTATACCGGCCTTATGGTGTGGTTGGTTGTGTGGTAGCGGCGAGCCTTTCCGACGGCATTCGGATCATGCGCGGGTCCACAAGTACGATACGAGACTGCGGTTGCACATGATTCTCGTTCTCCATTGCTAACGCAGCGAAATATCAGTGTTGGTTGTGGGTAGCTTATTAACCTTCGCCAGATCCATCGATCATGCCAAAACCAATCAGTGCGGCGGATTTTGGCTCAGTGACCTCCCGGTAGGTTGTTCTGTCTGCCCATCCAGCGTTGTCACGATGCACGAGAGTGGCATGTTGGCGTGGCATTTCAATATCGGTTTGGCCACTGATGTCGGCCGTGGTTTGTTTGTTTATCCTTCGTCGGTACATATGTACCCAGATGCAGGCATACGGCCATCACTCCAGCCGTTCACTTACATGTGACGGGGTCATGGACATGCTGAGAGAGATCAACGTCTACTATTGGACAGTTGGCAAGTTAGTGCGCTCTCGTCTCACGCTAAGGCGTGAACCTTGGTCCCCGAGCAACGGAGTAAATACGGCGCAGTCTTTTGGTACTTACCATAGTTTCGGGTTAGCGGTGTTGTGTCAGTGATGGCTGAATGGTCGTTGCACTGCTTCCGGGTACGTGGCGTGGCGCCGTTGCCGTCGTCTAGCATTTAATCCTCGATCGTCATCGTGTTTCGTACGTTGCGTCCGTGATTTATACGATCGCGTATAAGGCGTCCGGTGTGTAGGCAATTATCGTGCTGGGCAGGTTGGTCGGTTTCACCGGCTGAAGTCAGGAGCAGCGAAAGTTGACAGTTATATTCCTGAGAGGGTTTCACATTGGGAAAGTTGTTTTCCCTGTAGCTTTAATACACCTTTATGGAATGAGACAAGTGAAAGCTTATCGAAAACTGGTAGGCTCCTCTAGCGAAATAGGCCAAAGATCTGGGTAGATTATTGAAACTGCCCGAAATTTCTCGATTGAATAAGAGTGAAATAGTACCCAAATTTGTAAAGCCAGTAGAAACAATCACTTTCCCAAATAATTAAGGAGAAAAGGATTTAATTAGATGGAACTCGTCAAACCGAGCCAAGAAAGTGTAAATCGAGCGACGTGCAACAGAATGTTGCATAGAACATAAAAAAATACAGGGAGCACGGCTTGGAGCGGTCACTTCCTCAGCTTAGAGATGCAGTTGTTTCCCTTAGGCGTGCAGTGTTACGCGTACCGCATGCCGACAATATGCGTGTTCCTCGATTCCAAACGTGTGTTCGAAGCAGTTGATCGATGCAATCTGTTCGAAATATACACACGGATAGGTGTTCCTTGAAATATGTGAACATTTTACTTGCCCAGTCCTGAAAACCACAGGTTCTGACAGGGTTGACGGTGGTTTGTCGGATCCCTTCCCGACAACAGGCAACACTCCTTAGGTTTGTCCGGTTTTTCCGTTTTTGTTCAACTGTCTCCTGTACTGGGTTACGGAGTGTTCCTTTCTGCGCCTCATGATGCAGGCGTTGAGGTGTTCATTGTTGGAAAGCTAGTTGTTTTTGATTATGCGGACGCATTTTGTCTTGTTTTTAACGAGGTCTGAATGGCCAATCAACCCTGAATAATCGCTTCAGATTGATTCCATCATATGGCAACTCCTTCATACCTTCAAAATGCAGTGTTGTAACAGAACCGACGGCCACTTACTGATTCCTTGACCCTTGAAGACGAAAAACTCGAGAAAGTTAATCAATTCGCCTAGTTTGACAGTTGCATTGGCAACGATGAGCGCATAAGCACTGAACTCATGTCACGCAATAAAAATGTTAGAAATGTCTGCTTGAATCTGCGACATCGGTGGGGTCAGAAAGTGGTTCCCTCGGTCTGAAAGCTCGGGTTAACATGGCCACAATGAGGGCCGTCCTGCTCTATGGGAGTGAGACTTTGCCCCTTTTGCCTGAAGAGCTGAGGTGCATTCATGTCTTTGATCATCGTTGTCTGCGAGGATTGCTTCTGTCAGTGGCACCAGCGTGTCCGCAACGATGATGTGCGTAAGCGAGTGCTAGGCAGTGATAATCAAGTTAGCTCATTAGAACAACGTATGGCACTGAATAAGTTGTGTTGGCTTGAGCACGTGCAAAGTACGCCTGGTCACCTATTATTGAGAAGGACGTTGTTTTGTCTACCAGACGTAGGCTAACGCAAAGCGCCATATGAAAAGAAAACTTTATTTGACAGCTAGAAGTCACTGACGACCGAACTCAGTGGTATCTGTCCGTCTCGCCTCCGAGGCTGCAGTCCACTTGACAGGCCTTGTGCTTGATTCAAGAGTTTACAGGACATGGCTCGTCTCCTAGACGGACTGCCTGGATAAAGTGTGTTTGACGCTGAGTTATCTGTGCAGTAGTGGCTGATTTTGACGCGGGGCAGTCAAAGTCGCAAGGAAGCTGTTTCGCGGACACTGCGTTCTCATTGAAAGATAGCCAATATTTTGTGATGGCATGTTGTTGACACAATGTACAGGCATCTTAAACCTGAGTTCATGTTTATGGCAGTAAAGTTTTGCGTCATTTCCCCTACTTGCTCTCTTATTGTTCTTTCTTCTGCAGGTAAGCGTGGTTTTAAGGCAGCGAAGCAACATTACAAATGTCCTATGTACTGCTGTTGAGGATGATACTACTAATAATAACTATGATGATGATAATGATGTTGATGATCAGTTGAGAGTGTCAACTCCAGCAGCGCATGAGACAAGATATTTTCAACAATCGGCTCTAACCAGTTCGTCTGGACTAAGCGGAAGTTTATGTAACCTTTTTGAACTGTTGTTTAAGTTTGAGTTTTTATCACTCGTACATGAGGTCAACGTGTGGATGAACTAATCAGTGTGCTTGAATGATTTAACGGTTAACTTTTGGTGCATTCGTGATATTCATCCTTATGTGAGACGACGGTTCACGATGAAACAAATTTCTGCCATTTCCGTCAGTGGGACCGCATCCGAAGTGAAGAGTTCTTCTGTGGCTCGCTCTCATCGCTTAATTCCAAGACAGCTTACGACCGTATTTGGACCATTCAGGTTGGGATAATCAGGGTTGGAGCGAAACTCGACACGTAGTGCTTGGCGGCTTACGGCTTAAGAACTAGCATATTGATCTCACCCAGAAGCGCTTGGCACATCAATTAGAATCTCATTACTGGGTTTTGGAGAACCCGCCGTGAGTCATGGATTGTGACACCCAACAACAGACGCCATTATTTCTGAGGGAGGGCACATTGCAGTCAAATTCCCAATGTCATATTAGCACCTCAGCTCTCGCTATCACATTGGACGTGACCTGTATTTTAGCAGTTTAGTATTCATCACACATTAGGCGAATCGTTTGCAATTGCGCATGAAGCAAACCCTGATAAACTTCCGTTTTACCTATTTACTGTGGACGCTACTTGGTTCCAGCCTGGCACATCGATTGTAATCATTGCGCTCGATCACCCAAATGACTTCTAACTTCAGACACAGAAGATCAACTGATGAATTAATGCCAAGCGAAATGTCAGTTTTTTCATGAATATTTTGACTTCCCTTGCCTGTCAGAATTGGCACTACCCATTTGACAACACTGAGCACAGATGACGTCTTTTCGTTGCTATTTTCTGTGGGAGGAGGCATAGTCAATTAGTCTGGAAAACTGTCTTGTTTTTATCATTTCAGATGGAAACAAATTACGACTCGCGAAAGTGAGTTAAATGCTCTGTCCTTAGTTGTACTAATGTAGACTGAAGGACGTCTAATCTGAGGTTATCGGAACCGTCTGTCGATAAAAGCGTAAGGGGCCTCAAGCTTCTGCCCAAGTTCATGCAAACATTGCCACAAGGGATAGAGTGTTTCCCAAAATTACCATTGTTCTTAGATTTAGGATTTGTTTAATGAAGCATTTGCATAACTAGACGAAATAGTTGTCACCCGGTGGATAACGGTCAGGTTTATAAATATTCGTTCTGATTAGAACCATGTGA